CGGCCGTAGTCGCAGAAGAGACCCTCTAGACACGACTGTGCTGTTGGAAACCCCACACGCTGCTGCCAGAAGAGGCTCCGCTTTAATCGCGCATTCGAAATGTGTGTCGGCCCCTTCGACAATCTTCCGCCGCAAGCACCGGTATGAGGTCTCTCGCCAAGGAAACGAGCTGCGCCTTCAATGGTTTCAAGACATAAGAACCGACAGCGAGCAATCTCTAACTCCTGCAGAAATGCCTGAAAGCTATGGTGTCTGCTTCAGGATCCGCAACGCGCCGGGCACTTCCCAAGATGACGTGGGCGTTGGTGCCCCCGAAGCCGAAGGAGCTGAGGCCTGGCCGACGGTACAAACCCTCTCGATGCCCAGAAGGAAAAAACAGAAAACGGTGATTGTTTTTAGGGTGTATCATCTTTGGACGCAGCGTGCCTGAGACCATATCTTCAGAGGGTGCGGAGATGTGTGTCTGTGGAATCACCGCAGGAAAGCCATCCAGGTCGATGTGAGGGTTCAAGCTCCGGAAATGCAAATTAGGAGGTATCTTTCCCTCCAGCAAGACATGCACGCTCTTGAGGAAGCCGGCAATACCTGCTGAGCCCTCCAGGTGCCTGACAGGCAAGAGACTTCCGGGAATGGTAATTGTGAGGGTAATGTGAATAAGTATTATAGTAACAACAATAACAGCCTAATCATAATAAGTATAAGCGGTAAAAACAATATTAGACTTTTATTAAACTTTCCAAAGCCGCCCAATGTTGGTCTTGGCAGCTCCCAGAACAGGGCTACCTTCGCCGCCAAGGACCGCCCGCAAAGCATCCACTTCAATCGGATCTCCCAGAGCAGTTCCGGTTCCATGACACTCAATCAGGGCCACCTGACAGCAGATGAGCGACGTATAGTATGGAGAATGCATGACAAAAGTCAGTCTCCGAAACCACTGCGTGCCTTTTCTTGCTGGGCGATTCGCGCTTCTGAGAGCGCCCGGCGCAGGACCGCCTGCTGTGAGGGTCCGTTCGGTGCCGTGAGCGACGCCGAGCGCCCGTCTTGGTTGCAAGCCGTGGCCCGGAGGTGGGCCAAAGCCCGCTGAGCGAGGACGCCCTCCTCGGCACCGAGGCTGAGGAAGGCCGCGGCGACGCCCTCGCCGCG